GCTCTGCTGATAGGTGCACCCCACTCCGCCAGTAATCCTCCTGCCCAGAGGCATTCAGCCTTCTTGCTCCGCGGGCCAGCAAGCCCACCGCTCGGTCTCATGCTGGTCTCTTTGTTCTGCTGCCTCTCTGCTAGGGAGGTCCAGCATAGGGATCTTGGGTCCAAGAACGTGCTCCAGTCCTGGTTCTTTCTTGATGGCAGTGAGATCCCCTCCCCACCGCCCTGCCACCCTGGGATGACTCATTTTAAGCATAGTGGGATGGAATGGCAAAACTGACCAATCTCCATATTAGGGTTCCATACACATTATTTGATAGTCTTGCACCCATAAGGATGCCAAGTACCTTATTTACATTATTAGCAAGATGTCCAGTCCCCTTAGTGGGCCACAAGCACCTTACATTTACATAGCCTCACCTAATCAGCACACAGTGACTGCAATATGGGCTTGAGTAGAGCAAACATACAATATGAGCCATCTGTGAGGATAGCACAGAACTGGGCAGTGTTTCATTCTGTTGTACATTGATTCTCTATGAGTTGGAGCTGACTCAGTAGCACCTGACAACAACAATAACACCTAGTCATTGGGTGGGAGTTACAAAGACCATGGCTAGAAGAACCATACTAAGTAATTCACTACACCACACATACTGACCCTGAACATCACCAAAATGCAGGTAGCAATTCAAGTCTCGTCCAACTACAGGGTGGCTTAGATAATTGTGAGGCTCTAACAACAGCAGCAATCTTTATTCCATATAATTTTCTATGCTGAGCTCATTTTGTTTATGAATCATGTTATCACTTCCTTCATTGCTATTGTTTTAGTATTTGCTGAATATTTATGCTGGTCCTCTTTTTTATTTTGATATGAAGGTTTATCAGTTTTCTTTGACGTTACCCTGTGATTTATAGTTTTCTTTCCAAGTTTAGAACAGTCCGTTCTATCTTGTAGTTGTCTTGACTTCCCTACCATCTAGAAGTTCTGTAACAACACAGATTTTTTTTCCCTCTTTTTGGTTTGCAGTTGTCCTCATTTGTCGGTTGGTGTCTTTTGTTCCCTCTTTACAATCTTGCAGGCTTATTTATTTTGGATACTTCCATAGCTGGGTTGGTTTCTGGGTTACATCATCATGTGTGTTAATGGTCAGTTGTTGTTGGCTGTTGTTGCTTCTCTGTCCAAAGGGCTCCCTTTAGCATCTCTTGTAAGGTTGCTCTTGTTTTAACAAATTCCCTTAATTTCTGCTTATCTGGAAATGTCCTAATTTCATCATCATATTTGAGGGACAATTTTGCTGGGTACATAATTCTTGGTTGGAAATTTTTTTCTTTCAGTGTTTTAGATATACCATCCCACTGTCTTCTTGCTTGCATGGTTTCTGTCGAGAAAGCTGAGCTTAGTCTTATTGGTTGCCCTTTGTAGGTAACTTCATTTTTCCCGTGCTGCTCTCATGATTCTTTCTTTGTCTTTGGTTTTGGTGAGTTTGATGATGATATGTCTTGGTGCTTTTCTTTTAGGATCTATCCTGTTTGGGGTTCATTGGACTTCCTGAATGGATATATTCTCATCTTTCATCATATCAGGGAAGTTATCCTCCAACAAATTCTTGGACAATTTTCTCAGTGGTTTCATTTTTCTCTTCCTGCTCTGGAATTCCAATGACACGTGGGTTATTCCTTTTGATGATATCCCACATGAACCTTAGGCTTTCTTCATTTTGTTTTGATCTTTTTTTCTGATTGATCCCTTTCCAAAGAAGTATTCAGGTACTTGGCTTCAATCTCATTAATTCTGCCTTCCATTGCATCAATTCTACTGCTTTGCCCTTTCAACATGTTATCTATTTCTGACAATTTAGTATTGATCTTCTGGATTTCTATCTGTAGATTTAGAAGCAGTTCTAATTTTTCATTTATTTTGTCATTTTGTTCTTATATTTTCTTCCAAAATTCTACTAGGGTTTTGTCTGTGTTTTCTTTGGTCTGTCTCTCAATCCTTTGAAGATACCTAAATATAATTCTTTTGAATTCCTTATCAGGGAGTTTCAATGTTGCATCTTCCTTAGGGATGTGTTTTGGGTCTGTATCTTGGTCCCTTGTTTCTCCTGCTTTATCTTGCTTCTTTGTGTGGACTGTGATGGTCTGTTGTCTCCGAGGTATTGTGACATTTTTGTGTTCATATTTAATTGGTGATTGTATGTTGGAGTGGCTTGCCCACGATTTTCGTTTTCTTTGATTTGTTTGTATGTTATCTATACAGGCTGGGTACTGTGCTGTGCTCCTCTATTCACTAGTTGACAGCACTTACACACTCACCACCTATCTCCTTTCCTTTGTCAGCCTCTCATATGTCCTTGTCAACTCTGGCAAACAGAGACTGTTCTTAGGTCCCTGGAATCTGAATGAGATGCTATCACTTTAAAATCCAAAATGGTTGCCACTTGTAAATATTCAAAATGGCTGCGACCTCAGTCACTTTAAATATCCAAAATGGCTGCCACGTGTAAACAATCAAAATGGCTGCACCCTCCGGACAGCAGAAAGTCCACAGCTCAGATTGTCTCCCTCCTTGCTGTTTCCCTTCCTAGTCACAGGTCACCAGAGCAGTTGTCCCTGCAGCCCTTGGTGACCAGGACTGATCTTTAGGTCATTTCTCAGGTCCCACCACCACTTGGAAATATTCAGGCTGTTGGTCTCATCAGAGTATCTGACCGTCTGCTGCTCTGACCGTCTCTGTACTCACTGTTTTTGTTCAGGTTTTTCCACTAGCTGGTGCCTAATCCACTTCTGTGTAGTTCCTTTGAAAGCTCAGGGTTCCAGGATTATCTTCTGTATCTCTGTCAATTGGTTTTTCTTTTCTTTGTTGAAGAGGGTCTATGTCACTTGTCTGCCTATTCCTCCATCTTACCAGAAGTCCAGCAGCAATCTTTAGATAATAATGTGGAAACAGGTGTAATCCAAGAATTGCTGAGGAGCCCTGCTACTCAAAGCGTGGGCCCTGGACCAGCATCAGGATCATCTAGGAGCTTTTTTACAAGTGTAGACTCCAAAACCAAACCAAACTCACTGCCATCAAGTCAGATCTGACTTACAGCGACCCTCCTTGGGTTTCCAAGGCAGTATCACTACAGAAGTAGTGATCCCAACCTTCCTCCTGAGGAGTGACTGGTGGGTTTGAACCACCGGCCTTCTGGTTAGCAGTCAAATGCCTTAGGCATTACACCACCAGAGCTCCTCCTAGTGTAGACTCAGGCCCATCCTAATCCACTGACTCACAGCCTGCAGTTTAATGAGATCCCTAGAAGATTGCTATGCATATTTAAGTTTAAGAGCACTGACCTCGGGTGGTGGTTCTCCACCTTGTCAGCAGAGAAGAATCACTCAAGGAGCCTTAAAAAATCATGACACCCAGGCCATACCCCAACTAGGGGAGGTGGATCCAGGCATCTGTGGTTTTTATAAGCTCCCCAGGTAATTCCAATGGACAGCCTTATCAAGGGCTGGGAAGACAAAGGTACTTTACTCAATGAACTTTTGTGCTAACTAAAATCAATGGGTAGTTACCCAGAATGCTCACTGAGAAAGACCTCCGTGATCTTTCTGCTACTGGATTGGCTGCTGGATCCAGGTAAAAGCTGTGGTATGAAAATCAAGTCATAACAAGAAGCCAGCATATATGGAACCCTTACTAGGTGCTGTGTCTTTGGCTACATGCTTTACAAGCACATTGCATTAAACCTTCACACTAACTGAAGTAGTATTATTATCCCCACTTTATACATGAAGGAACAAAGAAGTTGAGATTCACCTGAGGTCACACAGGCAGTGACAGAAGGATTTGGGTAACCTGAATAATCAGTTAATAAGCTATGCTCTCATGGTGACCCTGTGTATGCAGAGTAAAACTGTGCTCCACAGGGCTTTCCAGGCTGTGACCTTTCAGAAGCAGGTCACCAGACCTGTCTTCTGAGGTGCTTTTGGGTGAGTTTGAACTATCAACTTAGTGAGTGCTTAACCATTTGTGCCACCCAGGTAATCTCTCTCTCTCTCTCTCTCTCTCTATGTATATATATGCTCAGCGGCAGCTGGTTTGATTAGGATAACCATAGTGGTTTTCAAACTGTCTTCCTCGGAGTCCAGAGTTCCTCAGAGGTGCTCGAGGAGCTGGTGTGGAGGATAGACTGTGTCCAGGAGGGCCTGTGGGTTAGTGGGAGGCTGGACCCTGGCAGCTCCCTGCATCCCTCTTACAAATTGAGCTTGAGAGAGATATCTTTTGAAGAGAGAGTTTTTTTGCCCACTGACCTGGGGCATCTCAGATCACGTGGTGCTGTTCTGTGCGCCCTGACAGATGTGTGCCTTCCTGTCTGGGAACTAATCCCCATGGCAGAGGATGCTCAGACAGATTACTGTTGGGAAATTCAGTACTGCATCTGCACCTCAGAGCCCAGGGGGCCATTCCCGCCGCTGGAACACAAGACCTCCTGGAGGCATGCACCTGCTGTGGAGGGGCTTGAATTGCCCCTCTTGAGGCTCCCAGAAGAGGATAAGTTGGGGCTAAGAGCCCAGGGCTCCAAGAGGGCTTTGGAGGGGGTCTCAGAGCAGTCTGGAAGAGGGAAGAGGAACTGGAATTAGAGGTAGTGGCAGGGGGGGGGGGGGGGGCAACTCTCCCAGGACTGAGGGGTTTCTGTGGGGAGACAAGGGACTTTTCACTGCTCAAACTGGGGAAGCCTCTGCAGCTCTGGAAGGCTGGTCACTCTAGCAGGGTTTTCTGAGCCTGCTGCTTCCCCTACCTTTGAGGCAGAGCCGTTGGAAGGGGAGGGGTTGCTTTGTCCTTCTCCCATTCTCTTCTGTTTTCTGACATTTCTCTGTTCCTGCCTTCTCTTTTCTAGCTCCCCAAGATCTCTCTTTGCTTTCAGTTCTTGGTTTCCCACGCACAGCGTGTGCTGGGGTGTACACTTGAATCCTGAAGAAGCTGGACTCTTCCAGGCCTTAGAGAAGATGCAGACCCAGGTGAGGCACAGCCCCGAAGCAGGCTTCAAATAGCAGCCTAATCAGCTCACATCACCTTCATCATGGTCACCACTAACATTTCTAGATCATATAGTATAGACCAGGAAAACCGTTTAAAGTGTTTTAGATGTATTGGGAAAAAAAAAAAAAAAAAACCCACGAAAACAAGAGCAAAACAGTTGCCATGGAGTCAAGCCCCACTCATGGCAACACCATGTTAGAGCAGACTGCTCCACAGGGACCCCCACTCCCCACCCCAATGGTTGAGTTTTCAGAAGCAGATCAGCAGGTCTGTCTTCTGAGCCATCTCAGGAGAGATTGAATCCCCAGCCTTTCAGTTAGCAGCTGAAGAACCTTTTATACCCGTGCTCATTGATTTCTCCAAACAAACCAGAAACAACTCCACTTCCTTTGCACATCTCCAGGCCATTGTTCCTGCTGCTGTCCCTCCCTGGGGTGCCCCATTCACCCCCAAAGATCTGTCCTATGAACGTTTCCTCCTCTCCCAACCTCTCAGCCTGAGCTCATCCATCCCTCTTCCATGCCTGTCTGTGTCCCAGAGAAACGATAGCAGTAATACCAGCCACCAATTAGTTAGAAGCTCTTGTAGTGCAGTGGTTAGAGCATTCGTCTGCTAACTAAAAGGTTGGTGGTTCAAACCCACCAGCCACTCCATGGCAGAAAGATGAGGTACTCTGCTTCCGTAAAGATGACAGCCTTGGAAACCTTCTGAACCAGTCTACTCTGTCTTGTAGGGTTGCTATGAGTTGGAATCGACTCAATGGCAGTGGGTTTGGTACCAGTTAATGAAACTTTCTAGGGATTTGCATGCATTATCTCACAACCCTTCCCTATACTCTATGAGATGTAGGGGTGATGGGCATCCTCATTTTGTGGAGAAGGAAACTGAAACTCAGTGAGGTGAAGTAATTTGTCTACAGCTAATGAAGCATAGTGCCTAAGGCACTTGACTGCTAACCAGAAGGCTGGTGGTTCAAACCCACCAGCCATTCCTCAGAAAGAAGGTTGGGCAATCTACTTATGTGCCTTGGAAACCTCAGGAGGGGTCGCTATGAGTTGGGTCCAGCTCCACTGCAAGTAACAACAACAACAAATGAAGCAGAGCTGAAGTCAAGTCCTGGTCCCTCCTCACCATCCCGCTGGTTCTTGGGGGAACAGGAAAAGGCTCTGTACCCTCAGGGGATATTGCTGTGCTCAACACATAGCAGGACCTTGGGGATCAAGGAGGCTCTGTCCTAGAGTGGAAGGTGAGAATGGGGGAAGGAGGTGCAGGTCTTTAGGCTGCAGAACACCTTGGAAAGGGGCTGGAGGTGGGTGAGGTGGAGGAAAAAGAGGATGTCATGCTGTGGGTGGGGGTTGGGAGTGTTTGGCTCTTGCTGAGTGCTTCCCTTGCTGGGAGGGGAGAAGGGAGACACCCAATGAGCATTTCAAGTCAAAATGTGAGCAGCTGGTGAGCAGCTTAGAGTTGAAAATGGTCCCTGCTTTCAGGTTTATTGGAATAAATCCTGAGATTGGAGAGAGATGAGGCAAATTGGGGGTGCAGAGACCTCAGCTGCACGTTGATAGAGTGGGGTGGAATGCAGAGCACAGAGCTCAGTTCCAAGCTCTGGCACTCCCTATCCGTGATCTCAGCAAGTCATTTGATGTTTCTGAATTTCATTTTTCTTCTGAAAACGTAATGACAATACTCTGGTTATGCCATGCTGTTGTTAGCGGCCGTTGAGTTGGCTTTGACTCATGGTGACCCAACACATCATGGAATGGAATGGTGCCCAGTCTTGGGCCATCCCCCGATTGGTTGTGGACGGGGCAATGTTCTGTTGTGATCCATAGGTTTTCCATTGGCTGAGTTTTGGAAGTAAATCATCAGGCTTTTCTTCCTAATCCTTCTTTCATGCTCCAGTGAAATCTGTTCAGCATCATAGCAACATGCAAGGCTCCACTGACAGGTGGATGGTGGCTGTGCATGGTGATGCCATAGGGACCTGCTAAGAGTGATTAGGCCGCCTTCTTACCAGGGCTCCCTCACTGGCCCTGCCCCAGCAGCCCTTTGCTCATGCTCCAAGAGGAGCATCTTCCAACCTCCCTCCCATGCATACTTACGACCAGAGGGTCCCCCATTCACTTCTTTGTAGCTGAGGCACTATCTTTGGTCTGATTTTCACTCCTCTGATCTCCAGGTGGCAACATCCTAATGCTCTTGGGATATTAAATGGTTTCATTTTTTAAAAAATATACATGCAATAAAAATCAATCTTGTAAGTGTACAGTTCTCTGAGTCTTGACAAATGAATACAGTTCTGTAACGACGACCACATCAAGATACAGAAGTGTTCCATCACTTGCCTGGAGACACTCCCCACCTGGGAGAGAGCCAGACAAAGAGCCAATGGAATCAGTGCAGATTACTGTTACTATGCAGGAATGGTGTATGCCTAAAGTCGGGAGGCAGAGTCCCTGGATGGTGCAAACAATTAACATGCTGGGCTGCTAACAGAATGGTCAGAGGTTCAAGTCCACCCAGAAGCACCTTGGAAGAAAGTCCTGGTGATCTACTTTTGAAAATTCAGCCATTGAAAGCCCCATGGAGCACGTGGGGTCATCATGAGTCAGAATTGACTTAACATCAAGTGCTTATTGATTTTAAAGTAGAGGGGAAAACATGATCAATTCTGCCTGGGGGAGAATGAGAAGGCTTCATAGATGCCTAGGGGTTTTGAGGGAAGGACCAAAGTTTGTCAGGTGGATAAGGATGGAAAGGGCATCACAGCCAGAGGGCATGACAGATGCAAAGGAACAGAGAGAGGAGACAATGTAGGGTGTGGGATCATAAAGACATAAGGGGGAGGAGGAGAATGGGCAGGAAATGAGTAAGTGGAGCTAGGCAGAGGGTAGATCATAGAAGGCCCCTCTTGTCAGTTGTTTCTGGCACATAATAAGTGCTCAACATGTGAGAGATCTTTCTGAAGAGAATGCAGTAGACAGAGAAGTATGGAATCTAAACTCAGCAAGACTCTGGTGGATCTGATTAGAGAACCCAGAAAACAGAGGTAAGCAGGTAGAGAAGTCCAATATATTTCAGAGATGGCATGAAAATTAGTGGGGACAGGTTGGGGTATTTAGTATATGGTACTGGTAATTAGTGAATGTGTTATCCATATGAAAAAAAAAATTAGATCCCTACCTCACACCACAACAAATATGTACAAAAAAAAAAAAAAAAAAACCCACCTCACTGCCATCGAGTTGGATCTGACTCATAGTGACCCCTTCTTGGGTTTCCTTGGCAGTATCATTATGGAAGTAGATTGCCCAAGCTTCCTTCCAAGGAGTAGCTGGTGGGTTTGAACCACCAGCCTTCTCGTTAGCAGTCAAATACCTTGGGCACTATGCTATATTTTAAATTTTATTGTGTTTTGGGTGAAAGTTTACAGAGCAAACTCATCTTCCATACAGCCGTTCAAACACATTTAGTCTCATGATATTGACTGCAACTTCCCACAATGCAACAGCTCCCCTCCCACTTCCTCCCCATAGTCACCCCCTCCTTGTGTCCTTCCCTGACATGAACAACAAATATTTTTGTGTGAAGATATAGAAGCCTATCTTTATGATCTCTGTGAAAAGAAGCACACACACAGTGCACACTAAAAGGAAAAAATTGTTAAATCTGGCTGGCAGCAACCAATCCAAAAGCTATTTTATTCGATAATAATAGCTAATAGGGCTTTCCATATACAGAACAATGCACTTTTAATATATTAACTTATTTAACTCTTATAAATATATGAAACAGGTACTATGATCACCTTATTTTATAGATGAGGGAACAAGCACTGAGAGGTCAAGTGGAGCTGAAATTCAAAATCAGGCAATCTGACTACAGAGTCTGCCCTCTTACACACTAAACTATTTTACTTCTCAACAAAAGTTAATGCAAACAACAAAGAAAGGCAAGCCATAGATTGGCTTGTCTACACATAAAAATAGTAAAGGAAGAGTTTCCAAAAAACATATGTTTAACTATAGTAAGTAAAGAAAACTGAATAGGGAAAAACAGTTAAATGGTAAGAATAGTAAATACAGAAAAATGTGTTCCACCTTTTTAGTTATCATGAAAATGCATGTAAGGTAACACTGAGAATCAATTGTGGACTGCTTTTCAATCAACTGAAAACCAAACCAAAAACCAAACTCACTGCCATTGAGTCAGTTTGACTCATAACGACCCCTCTTTGGGTTTCCAAGGTAGTGTCTCTACAGAAATAGATTGCCCAACCTTCTTTCTGAGGAGTGGCTGGTGGGTTTGAACTGCTAGCCTTCTGGTTAGCAGTCAAATGTCTTAGGCACTACACCACCAGAGTTCCTACAATCAACTGATGGGAGGTGTAAATTGGAACAACTTTGGAGAGCAACTGGATGGTATCTAGTTAAGCTGAAGACGACCATACCTCACCATCCAGAAATTTCACTCCTAGGTACAGTTCTTCCAATTAAAATACATAAAATGATCACATTTGTAAAGCAATCTGGCCTCAGAGTCTATGTTCTAACCAGTATACTATACAGTAAAGTATACAACAGTATACTTTACAGAAGTTAAAATGAATAACCTAGCCTATAGTATCAAATTGGGGGGGGGGGGAAGCAACTATGATATTATCATGAAACAGTGTGACAATATTAATGTAAGTTTTAAAATAAACAAAACAATACTATATGCTGTTTACAGCAACACAAACACATAAAAACATGCTGCCATCAAGTCTGTTTTGACTCACAGTTCACAGAGTAGAACAGCCCCATAGGGTTTCCAAGGCTGTAATGTTTACAAAAGTAGACTGCCACATCTTTTCCTGCAGAGTGGCTGGTAGGTTCAAACCATTGACCCTTCAACTAGCAGCCAAGTGCTTAACCACTGCACCACCAGGGCTCCTTACATAAACCGTGCAGTGAAAGCTGTGAGGGCTGGAGCTCAATGGGAGTGCCTTGTTTTTCTTGTTCTCACAAGTTTTGACGTGGTGGAGTCTTTTTTTTTTTTATTATTATGAATCAATTTTAATTCAGATAAATTTTAACACAATATGTGGTTACAAATATATTTTAGGGGATTATACTTCTTTTTTTTTTAAAAAAAAATTATTGTGATTTGTGTGAAAGTTTACAGAACAAATTCATTTTCCATACACCAGTTCATACACATTTTGTCTCATGACATTGACTGCAATTCCCCGACATGATGCAAACTTACTGCTTTTCTATTGCTCTCTATTCGTGGAAAATATTTGACTTTACCTTCTCTGACAGTTTCTGCCTTATACGGTTTCCAGCTTTCACAAGTTTTACTGTGTAAAAGAATAGTAACATATATGATAAAGAGGAACATAAAAATCAGAATGAGTGTCTCATTTAGGGAGAGAGGGAGAAAAATTAAGATCTGTGAAGGGGGGTCCATGGAAGCTTCAACTCTACATGAATGTTTTATTTTCATGCATTTATTCAATAAGTGTCAGGGCTTGCTATGTTCCGGGAACTGTGTTAGGTGAGGACACCACTGTGAACAAAACAGACAAAAATCCCTTCTCTAATGGATCAAAGGTACTGAACAAACAAGAAGCAAAACAAATAAGTGACTGACATAGCATATTAAACACTTTTTAAAGATAGGAAAAACATAGGGTAAAATGTCAAGATTTAACAAAGTTGAGTGGTGGGGTACCTAAGTGTTTACCTATATATTCTTCAGTTTGCTTGAAATATTTCATAATATTAAAGATCATCTGGCCTTGGTGATTGGGTGGAGGTGGGGAGTGAGGGAAAAGGAAGGACCAGCGCAGACCTTGACGTTTCTAGCTTGGGTGACTAGGTAGAAGCAGGTGCCATGAATTGATGTTGACAATATTAGAAAAGGAGGAGGAAGTAAAATAAGTCAGTACCATCCTGGATGTTGAGTTTCAGATACTGGGGGATTTCCAGGTGGAAATGTTCAGGAGACAGTTGAAAATGGGACTCTGATGCTCAGGAGCAAGAGAGCTGGGCAGAAGCTAGCCCATTGCCATCGAGTCAATTGCAAGTCATAGCGTCTCCATCTGTTACAGAGTAGAACTGCTCCATAGGGTTATCTGGGCTATAATCTTTATGGAAGCAGATTGCCAGGCCTTTCTGCAGTGCTGCTGGGTGTGTTCAAACCACCACACTTTCAGTTTGTAGTTAAGTGCAAACCGTGGCACCACTCACGGACCATAGGCAGTAGCTAGAGAACGTATATGAGAGTGGTGTTATTATGCATGAGATAACCTGGAGATCATGTCTTTCAAAGAATTTGTCATTTCATTTAAATAGTCAAATGTATTTGATATAAAATTGATATTACCTGTAGGATCTGTAGTGATGTCCCCTCTTTCATTTCCAGTGTGATAATTTGTCACCTGGGAGCTCTGGTGGCGTAGTGCCTAAGGCATTTGACTGCTAACCAGAAGGCTGGTGGTTCAAACCCACCAGCCACTCCTCAGAAGGAAGATGAGGCAATCTACTTCCATAGTGATACTGCCTCGGAAACCCAAGGAGGGGTTGCTATGAGTCAGGTCTGGCTCAATGGCATATAACAATAACAACAACAATTTGTCAACTAAGAATTGTGTGTGTAATCACACAATGAGGAAAGAGGAGGTAGAAAGGTGGAGGAACACAAGTGTTTGTGGCACACAGGTGGGAGAGGAGCCCTTGCAAAAGGAGATATGGAAGGATAAGTTAATGCAACATTTGATTAATACCCAGAGATGCCTCAGAAGAAGTACCTGGAGATGTTTCCTAAAGGTCACACAGCCTTGAAGACACTATGGAGCACAGTTCTGCTTTGCACACATGAGGTTGCCCTGAGCGACTGTTTGTTTTGGTTTTGGAGGCTTGTTCGAAGTGCCATGGGAGATGACATGGGTGAGGAGAGTTGGGGAAGGCTTCCTGGAGGAGGTGGGATTTCACTGAGTATATAGGAGAAGAAAGGGCATGCTAAGCAGAGAGCACAGGCTGTGCACAGGCACAGAGGTGTGGGTGTACATGTATGGCAGAGCTGTCAAAGGGGCCACACTGGAAGGGTTTACAAGTGTGACATTTATCCAAAGCTGTGGGCTGTCATGATGGGTGAACCTGAGGCTCGGAGCAGATGAGGGGCCAGAGTACAGGTCCTTCTGTCTCTTCCTTCTGTTGAACCCTGTGTGGGCCATGCCCTGTGTCCTTGCCCTGCTCCAGGTTGGCTGGCAGCCCAGGCTGCTGAAAGTGCAAAAGAAGTGGCTCTTCCCAGCCTCCTGTACCTTCTTTTTCCTGCTCTCAGTAGTCATGACTGGCTGTTTCCTGTGGCAATATCACCTCCCAAAACTGAAGTCTGGTGAGTTTCTCTCCATCCCCATAGTCCTCCCAGGCTCTGAGCTGCCACTTTCAGTCCCAGATAGTAGGGGAGGACCATACGATTTAGACTCAGAAGCTCTGGCCTCCGTCCTGGCCAGAGTCCAGTTTTCACTAACATGCATCACAGTCACATGACTTCTCTGTGCCTTAATGCTTGATGCCCTTGTGTATGAAATGACAATTGAATGTTACTAGAGTTTCCTTTAGCTTCCCAGCCTGGGAGTAAAACTCAGGGCCACAATAAAAGTGCAAACTGTGTTTCTCTGGTGTTGCTTTCAGCCTCTATGGTAGGATCTTCAGGGCCAACTTCCTTTGGGAGACTCCCTGAGCCACACACTGTATCCAGCACCCCCACAGGAACATCTCACAGGTATCCATGGACAGCAACTGCCATTTCCCAGAGCCTCTCTTTCCTGGAAGGAGCCCTGGTTGTGAAAGGGTTAAACACTCAGCTGTTAACCAAAAAGTTGGCAGTTCGAACCTACCCAGTGGTTCCACAGGAGAAAGAACTAGTGATCTCTTCCTTTAAAGATTACAGCCAAGAAAACCCAATGGTGCAGTTCTACTCTGTCACATGGGGTCACTGTGAGTCAGAATCAACTCTATGGCACCTAACACCAACAAGTCCTTTCTGGGCTGCTCAGAGCCGCACAAGGAGCCACATGGCTGCAGTGTCCATCAAGCCCTCTGTTGCTATAGCAACCCCTGGGCCTGCCAACAGGCTGTGATCCTGGCAGTCCAGACCCCCCAAGTCTCTGTTGAAGCAGACAATGTCTCTCTCCATTCCTCTGCGTCATCCTGAGTTACAGATGCCCCAGTGTTCAGCAAGGTGTGCTGGGCTCCCAAAATAAAAGATTTTTTTTTTTCAAATTTTTATTGTGATTTGGGTGAAAGTTTACCGAGCAAATTTATTTTCCATACAGCAGTTCACATGCATTTTATCTCATGACATTGACTGCAATTTCCCACAATGCAACAGCTCTCTTCCCACTTCCTCCCCATAGCCACTTTCTCCCTGTGTCCTTCCCTGCCATGCATACCTGTCCCCTGAGCTGTCTCCCTGTGTATGCACGCCCCCTCTATTCTCCCATAATTGATCTGTCCAACTAGTGTACCTACCTAATGTAAATGTTCAGCTCATATGTCAAAATCAGAGAATTTGCAGAAATGGCTCCTTCTATTTTCTTGCCAGCTCCCTGTGTTCCCTTGCCAATCCTTCCCTTCTAGGCTAAATTCCTTTATCAGTGGCTTCTTAGTGCCTCAAGCAATAGACTCCAGATAGCAGGCTGGCCTGTGTTCTAGGACTATGCTTCTCACTCTATCAAACTACCAACCCATAGCAGACTAATATTACTAGAAAGATGTAAAAATGAATTATTAGAGAAATTAAATGAGAAAAAGACATATACAATACAGGGTACCTCATTTTATGATACGATACTTCTCTTTATTGTGCTTTGCAGATATTGCATCTTTTACAAATTGAAGGTTTGTGGCAATTCTGTGTCTAGCAAGTCAATTGGCATCATTTTCCAGCAGCATGTGGTCACTTTGTGTCTTTGTGTCACATTTTGGTAATTCTCATAATATTTCAAACTTTTTCATAATGCTATTGCATACTTCCACCACTCATTTGTCAGTCTGTCGTACTGTGGTGGCTTGTGAGGCTGGAGGCTATGCTACCAGTATTTCAAATACCAGTAGGGTCACACATAGTGGACAGGTTTCAGTGGAGCTTCTAGACTAAGACAAACTTGGAAGAAGGAAGGAGCCATCCACTTCTCAAAGACTTGGCCAGTGAAAACCTTATCAATAGCAGTGAAACACTGTCTGATATATTACTGGGAAACTTTATGAATAGCCTTGAAACATTGTCTGACATAGTGCTGGAAGATGAACCCCTCAGGTTGGAAGGCACTCAAAATATGACTGAGGAAGTGTAGCCTCCTTAGAGTAGAGTCAACTTTAATGATGTGGATGGAGTACAGCTTTTGAGACCTCCATTTGCTGATGTGGCACAACTCAAAATGAGAGGAAACAGTTGCAAATGTCCATGAATAATCAGAATATGGAATGTACGAAGTATGAATCTAGGAAAATTGGAAGTTGTAAAAATGAAATGGAATGCATAAAGATTGATATCCTAGCCATTAGTTAGCTGAAATGCACTGGTGTTGGCCATTTTGAATCAGACAACCATATGATCTACTATGCCAGGAATGACAAATTGAAGAGAAATGGTGTGGCATTCATTGTCACAAAGAATGCATCAAGATCTATCCTGAAGTACAATGCTGTCAGTGATAGGCAAGTATCCATATGCCTACAAGGAAGGCCAGTTAATACTACTATTCAAATTTACTCACCAACCATCAAAGCCAAAGATGAGGAAACTGAAAACTTTTTTTTTTTAATTTTATTTTGATTTGGGTGAAGATTTACAGAGTAAATTCACTTTTCATACAGCAGTTCACATAATATACTTTGTCTCATGTCATTGACCAAAATTTACAATGCAACAGCTCCCCTCCCACTTCCTCCCCATAGTTACCTCTTCCCAGTGTCCATCTCT